AAGATCAAGGAAATTCCCCAGCCACCTCTGCCATCCTCTGCACCGTAGGCATTTCCCCCTTCATACCAATGTGTTGAAGATTCTCCTGGGGTGACCTTATTTTATATCAGCCTCACTGTTTCCCTGAATCTCTTGACATTTGGAACATATATTTACCACACGCCTGGATTGGGGATGGGAAAGCCAGATTGCAGTTAACACTGAGTCTAACCTTGTTAGATGGGTTGTGCATACAGCCTCATTCTCTATGAGCCAGTTGGGACCAGAATGGATGACTAGAGGAAAATACACTCTTCCGGCGAAACAGGGCAGGGAGGAATAAGTTCCTTGGGACAAAGGGCCTTGTCTGGCTTGGGGCCTGTCTCTGGGGCCTTACCCAGCTGTCCGGGAAAACAGGAGCTCATGGTGGTATTGAGCATGGATGGTCCCACACACTGTGTGCCTGTCTGCAGCTGCACAGGCCTAGGGAACCCACCGTGAAAGTGGGCCTGTTCCTGGGCATTGGGCAAAGAGCCAGGCTGCCTCATGTGCCCAAGAGCAGTGAGGAGCTTCTGTGTATGCTCTGTATGTGTCATAGCCTTCTTTGGAACTATAGTGAGTCTGGCCCTGCCTGGTCTTTCCTGTGCCTTGGATCCTAAGTTAAGAATAACCGAAGGAACACTTGTCCCTGTTGACAGGCCTGGTATGAAAGTTGCTATCAAATGGCTATTTCATCCTCCATTGCCACTGACATCACACCACATACAGTTCTGAGATTCCTACTTTAGTTGTGATTGAATACAGCTATGATCACTGGAGCAGAAAGAAGTTATTCAGATGTGACTGTGTGAAGACGTGTCCAGTAATGTGCAGATGTTTTTTGGCAGGTCAATGAATATTTTAAATCTTCTGCAAGTATTGTAAGGGCTTGAATTCGAAACAGAGAAGACACTGTGGCAAGATGAAAGCATACCATTTCTCTCACAAGTTCCCATTTTTTTAAATAAACAGAAATCTGAATAATGGTTTAAATCATTGTTGAATTCCTCCCTCCTCACCCGTAAGTCTCCTTCATCACATATCAGATGTGATTATGACCATAATATATTGAATTTCTATGTCTCAATTATATATTTTAATAACAAAAAACTCACTAGTTAATATGAAAAACAATAGCACAAGCTTCAGTTTAGATATTTGTTATTTTATGCTAAAGAACCAAGACTACATTTAAAGAAGTACATTTTCTGGTTAAGTGTGTTTTGTATGTGGGTTGTAGTCACATTCTGGACTTACATACTCCATCCCCACCCTTCTAACACAAATACCAGTCTGTAATGCAGGAAGGAGTGAGGTTGGTTTGCCCTAGTGCTATTTCATTGGTTACTCTGTTACTGCCCCTTGTCACCGCTTCATTCATCCATCAGCAGAGGTGACACCAGCTCAGCCCCTGTGTGTTCCAGGCAGTGGTCTCGGTGATGTCCTGACCAGTGACAGAGCTAACAGTCTAGCAGGGAAGCAGTGACACACGGCTGGCATGAACTGCAGTAATCACACACCCCAGAGGAAAACTAGTCTTGAAGAGAAGTGTGGACAGAGAGGATGAGAGTAAAAGAAGACTGTGAGCTGGACCCTGAAGGCTAATCAGAAAAAATATATATACTTACCCAGCAAAGTTGGGGAGATTGGAATAATAATGCTTAGCCCAGTGTCAGGGATATACAGAGGAGTTGAGTCTTTCTTTCTGCTCCTCCATGGGATGGGGAGAGATTAAAAATACAATGACAGTGCAGAAGTGCCCTTGTAACTCCTACTGACTTCTCAGCTGGAAAATATCTTCTCTCACAATCTGGCATTTGTCTCAGTTTCCTATCTTTCTCCTTCCAGCCACTGCCAGCCCATTAGCCACCTCTCTGCCTTGGAGCACTACCAAACCTTTTGCCATTCACTGAATGTGTGGCCAGTGTTCCTTAGACTGTGAACTCACCTCTCCTTCCTGTGCTGTACTGTTGCAAGGTTCAGGCTGATATGCTCTGAGCATTTGGAGGTACAAGAATAGTGCGGACTGAAGGGATAGCTATATCAAGAGAGATGCCAAAGTTTTATTTTTGGAACATTTGCATGTTCTTCCAAGGATGGAGGGTTCATCTCATTTAAGCCATTGGGAGTACTTCATTTTTGGTCAGGGTCTCTTCGGCTTGAACTCTTACAGTTCATCACACATTTGCAGCATTTATAATTAGCCTTTTCCACTGAGGTCTCAGGGTCACTTTAGTTATGTTTGTCAACCAAATCATCAATACCACTTCAGCAGGAAGAATAAAAGTTGGAAAAATAGTCAACGGCTTAAAGTCCCAACTGGATGGGTAGTCAACTGTTTTGTAATGCTGGTATAAGTAATATGCCTATCTGTATCTATACACAGAGGCATATGCACACACATGGAGAGTAAGAGGAATCTATCTTGCCTTAAGATATAGACACCTAAAATTTGGATTTAAAAATACTTTTTGTAATAGAGATAATTTGGGATGATTGGTCAATTTGAAGATAGGTCATTTTAATAAAAATATTTCTATTAGAGTTCAACGTTGGCTGTTTAAAACTTGTTAGCATTCAGAAACAGACTTAGAAAAATGTGTAGTTTTAGAGACAGATGTCACTCTTCATTCTAAATGGATTGTCAAATCAATTTCACTTGTAGGCAGTTTATTTGATCCACTCATATCCTCTTTGAAACAATAGCACTGATGCCTAAAATGAATTTGAAAGTTATCTTGCTTGGTTGTCGTTAAAGCTAAAGCTATGGCATCCTCCTTTGGGTTTATGGTGCAGAACGATGCATACATGGTCTTTGTTAACTCCATCTGTTTCATAAGCCTGAAAAAGAAATTGGATGGTGCTGTGTATGTGCATGGAGGGATTAGACTGTGCAGTAATAAGCTAGCAACTCCAAATGGGTTTTCAGTTTTCCTGTTGGCACTAGTTGCTAAAGTGCTGTGGAGTGAAGATTTATTCCTTTGCAGTCTGTTGTGAACTGGGCGTCCTGTGTTGTTGTAGTTTTGCAATATGTGTGTGAGAGGTATTAAGTTTCCTTCTTGTACTAAAACAGTAGATTCAAGTGCTCTTTCTGTAGCAGAGGAAGGAATCTTTCACCTTGCAAATGAAAACTCTTTGTTGTGACTTATAAATCAAACAGTGTTTCTAAATCTCTATGGAAGTGTTTAAGTCTGGAAGTTAAATTTTCATGTAAGCATGTTTTCTTCAGTAGAACTTACTGTGGCACTGAGATACTCTTTTGATTATTGGGAGCTAAGTTAAATTCCCATTTTGCACAGCATAAGAGTGCCATATTCCCAGTGGTTAGCCAGAAGAAAGGACATAGATGGTAGTGTCTCCTTGGTTAGGGGAAGGCAGCATGTCCCAGAAGCCAGAAGAGATAAGTGAGGCAGGTTACCAAGGTACAGCTATAGTGGCATGCTTATTATTGTATTTTCCCCCTCCAATCTCCATGGTGGGTTTCTTTTTTGTCTGCAGTGAGTTTATGATTTGAATGCCCATCTACAGACAACAATATATGAGTTTCTAATTCTCTTCTCCGTGGTCATTTTTTTCTCTACTTCATCTTAGTCATCTTTGATTAAACAAAACAAAGCTGTTACTGCTAATTATGCCTCTTTTCAACCAGTGAAAAGACTATTTTGTATGTGTGGAGGGGGATGGTTTTGATAGGAATAGCAATTTACAATGGGAGTGTTTTAAGCCATAGACCAAGAAGAAAGGTACTGAAAGCCATGGTGAAGAGCTTAAGAGTCTCTATTGAGATAAGAAAAAATACTTCTTCCATTTTAAAAAAAATTTCAGATTCCCCAACTCAAACCTTATAGTTTCTGTATAACAGTTGTTGTCAACAATGTAACTGTTCTCTTTGCATACTTACTAAAGTTGGAGCTTTACTGTAACATTACAGGGAGAGTATATGAACAAACTGGAAATTTGCTTTTCCCACCATGACACTTGAAGGCTTAATGTGTAGGAATCTGTGTCATGAGTCAGCACAGCCTCGTCAGAGGAGATGTTGCAGTTCTAAGGTAATCTTAGGTCTGGAGTTTTCAGAGGCAAATTGGTACCAGTTAGTGGGCTGGCAAATTTTCTGCAGATGGGGAACCCCACCTAAAGGTAAACAGAAGCTATCTCAAGGCTTTCTAAGGCCAGGCATTGTGGTTATACATCTGTAATCCTAGCACTTGGGAGGTTGAGGTAGGAGGATTGAAAGTTTGAGGCCAGCATGGGCAATATAGTGAGAACTTATCTCAAAAACAAACACCAGCGCAATAGGAATTTAGGCAAATATGGGCTGGGAGCCTGCCAAAAGTTCAGTTGAACAAGACTTAACTTGGAAGACTTTTTTTTAATGTATCTTGACTGTGGATAACTTACGTAAAGACCTGGAAGAAGGTGTGTGTTTGTGTGTGTGTGTGTGTGTGTGTGTGTGTGTGTGTGTGTGTGTGTGTGTGTGTGTGTGTGTGTGTACTCAAGATTTCTATCCTGGGCTGGGAAGGTGTTTTAGTGGTAGAGTGCTTGCCTTGCGTGCATGAGGCCCTGGGTTCGATTCCTCAGCACCACATAAGAAGGAAAAAAAGCCGGAAGTGGCGCTGTGGCTCAAGTTGTAGAGTGCCAGCCTTGAGCTGAAGAGCTGAGGGACAGCACCCAGGCCCAGAGTTCAGGCCCCACGACCTGACTCCCCACCCCCCCAAAAAAAAGATTTCTATCCTTATTTTTTCTGGCTCCATAAAGTTAAAGTTTCACGTTGGCTTCCTTTGGTGATACAGGGCCAGGTCTTTACAGTTTGAGGCAGGTGGTTGTGGCAAGCGTGGCTTTGTGACAATTGTGTGAATGTGAGAAAATCTGTGGGCAAATTGTAATGTATGGAAATTCTCTGATGGTTTCTTGTGGGTGGTTTTCAGGCAACGACTGCTTGATACTCTTTTGATGTCTCATTATTTTTTTTTCTTCTACAGTTTTTGAAGAAGCAGGATGATGATCTAGACGTGGAAAAAGTAAGTAAACAAGTTTTGTATCAAAGGCATGTGCCTTGTAAATGAAGAATCATTTCCCAATGAGGGAGGGGGTAACACTGAAAAGAAATGTACTCATTACCTTACTTACATAACTGTAACCCCTCTCTTTGTATAGCACCTTTACAATAAAATTTAAAAAAGAATCATTTCCCATTTAAACCCTAAACAACATCTACTTTCAATTTGGGATTAAGATTAAGTCTATAGGTTTCTAAAAGAGAAGTAAAATTGGATTATGAAATTAAAAAAAAATCCTAGTTCACATCAAGTTGATCAGTTATGGAAACATATGTTTTAATTACAAGTCCTGTCTCCCCCAGGGTTGATGAGCTTTCAGGCCAGTGGGGGTGGACAGTGCTCTGTGTTTAGACTGGTCAAAGGCCCTCCCTGTTATTCCAGTCATAATTACTTTCCCTCTATTCTTACTTGTCTATTGCATACTTTTGCAAAGTTTTACCTTCCAGTTGTGGCCACTGTATATAAAAGGTCATTCATTCATTCACTTAAGATTTTTGGTGCCCATTGGGCATTACATGCTGGACTCTATTGAGGAAAAAATGGATGCAATAAACAAGTACTAAAACTGGAGTTTTAGGACCCAGGCCCCCAACTCCAGGAGTTCCTCTGTCAAGACCGCCCATTCACCCCTTTATGCCCCTTGATTATTGGGAGTTAAGTTAAATTCCCATTTTGCGGAGCAGAGGAGTGCCAGGTTCCTAGTGGTAAGCCAAAAGAAAGAACAAAGATTGTAGTGTCTCCTTGGCTAGGGGAGGGCATGGTGAAAGAGACGTGGTAAAAGGCAGAAACAGATTTATTACATGGGAATTCCATAGGAAGATAGCACTTCTGTATATCTTCAGCTGCTTTCAGAAAACAGTTATGAGTGACAGCTTTAAATAGACAAAGAACTGAGGGAAGAGGAAAAAGCTATGCAAAACAGTCCTAGTTAGAGGTGTGTTCCAAGTTGGGGTGGTGGTAGATAATCTGATAGTCCATTGTCTCAGGATTGATCAGGGGGACTTTGTTACAGTAATAGTTACTGATGCCTGATAAATGGTCTGCCCTTCTGTCAGCTGTTTCCTAGGTTCCAAGATGGTTATAAAGTGACTGTGGGAGACAGTGACTCAGGGCAAAAGACATAGCTACAAAATGGAGGCAGGGATGCCTAGCTTTGATCCTGCTTTCAGTTAATTTGGAGGCCCATGTACGAAGTCAGTGTTTTTGAGCATAAGTAGTTTAAGCACCTGTTACACTACTCAGGTAATTACAATGCCACTTGCAGAAGTGGCTTCAGAAGCTTAGACAGGGATGGAAGATGAAAAAAAAAATTCTTTGATGGAGGGAATATGTGACCATGTGAAGGAGTCATGGATTCATTCTTGTTTTCACTAACGTTGCTGGGTATTCCCTCATCTCCCATGTGCTTCAGATTCCCCAATGATAGGCTGAATTTATGCAGATCTCATTGGTCATCAGGTTCTTTCCTGCCTAACCATATTGCCCAGTTCTGAGAACTAGTCCTCAGTTCTCTCACTTTTCTGAGGCTGCCACTAAATCATTATTATCAATATTTTTTAAAATTTGAATACATGAGACATTCTCCCATTCTGGTTGCCATTGTTAGTTTATTCAACTTAGTTTTTTTTAAATTGTGAAAATATTGTACAGAGGGGTTACAATTACATGGGCAAGGTAATGAGTACATTTCTTATCAAGCATTGTTGCCTCCTTCTTTGTCTCCCCTTCCCATCCCTTCCCATCTTCCCCACATTCTCCCGCACCACCCCCTGCCCACTCCGGCCAAAGTTGTAAAGTTTGTTTTTCGACATAACGATTTGTACATCTCATTGTTACAATGGTCCACCTGTATCCCTATTTAAACAATTGGTTTTTTTCCCTTTCCCTCCACAAATTATACCAACATCAAATACAGTGATAACAGGGGTTATACCATGGGGGAGGGACATACAAAGCAACAACAAAATCATCTTATAAGTATGTTAGAAACAATAGCAACAAGGAAAAACAATTTGAGTCCTTATCTTGGGGTTCATTTCACCTAACATCATCTTATCTGACCTTTTCTGCTTGTCTCAGACATATACTAGTTATTGCAAATAAGGAAAACCATGGGACCTATATTTCTTTGGGCCTGGCTTACTTCACTTAATATAATTTTTTCCAAGTCTTTCTATTTCCTAACAAACATGACAATGTCATTCTTTCTAATGGAGGCATAGAAGTTGAATAAGTATGGTATCTGAAACATTGGGCCTTCTACTAAAGTAGGAAAAGGGTTATTCACCACTAATGTGGTCATTGGATGGCATGCTCAGTAAGATTAGTGGAGAATGGGGAGTTTCTGGAAGATGAGGCTTCTCCAGCTGTACCTCGAGGCAGCAGTGAGTTTCCAATAAAGGAGTGAACAAGTGTCACTTGCCCTGTCCTGCCAGTATTTGCAAGTACTGGAAAAAGGATAAGGAAAGCTAAATAAGGAGTGGGAAATACTTCTTGAGCTGCAGAGTGAATTTAAGCTTCCTCTAAAAGGCTTTGCCAGTGTCCTCTCAGTCAAACAGTTAATGACATGAAAAACACTTACCTGCCTTAAAGGAGTTTACCTTTCCAAAGCCTTAATGCATATTTCTTTCCTAATGTGGATAAAAAGCTATTGGGCACAATCTAACAACTCTTCTTTTTGCCTGTGTTTATGTATCTGTCAAGAAAATCTATTATATAAGTGCCAACATTGTATAAATAAATGATACCTGATGGCCACCTGACTAGAGAAAATCATGGACACCATTAGCATTTGTGTTTAGAATAGATTTTTGGAGTTTCTTCTTTTTCAGTGATCATTTCTGTCAAGACCAAAGTCTAAATGAAAATAATCTTTATTCTGAGATGTCAAAGCTCAGACATAAATCAGTATCGATTCTGAGTTACTTGCTAGCTATAGTTTATTGAGCAATTACTATGAAGTGAGTGCTTTGTGTATTTTTCACAGAGACTAATTCCACAGTCCTATGGGTTGACCATAGCCCTCAACATGAGCTGCTGTAGGCACTACAGTTATAACAGGGAATCTAATCAGATCTGTCTAGTTCCAGACCCTTCTCTTTCCTATACCTCACTTTGCCTTGGAATATTTGAGACCATCTTTTGTGTGCCTAATTCTAAAATCTTCTATGAGTATGTAATAAAAGAGTATTGCCATTTCCCAGGGAGATCTTTCTTGTCATTTCCCTAGCTCCTTAGTCTAAATGGAGTTACTAAGTCACTGTGTGTTTTCTTCAAAGCTATTATAGTATCTGTATAGTTTTTGGTACAGAATCTGCCAAATAGCTGTGTTCCCTATTGAACTGTAAGTTTTCTTGGGTCAAATCCATATGTTGGCTAGGGCTTATGCCTGGCTCATAATAAGCCCTCTAAAAATGTCTGCTGACATGAATGAATGATGGCACATTCCCAAATTTTGATGGATAATAAGAACCAAAGAAAACCATTTTGGTAAGTTGGCAAAGTGGAAAAAAAATCATTTTGTATACTCCAAAAAACATGGTTTATCTTCTCCATCTAGGTATTTTATCAGTAGAAATCACAGAATTATATGGCAATAAGACATTCATTTCTTGGTGTTCTCTAACAATACAAAGTTTCAATCGAACAGATGGATAACTCTTAAGAATGACGTAATTCAGGCAAGCAAAAGGAGCCCAAAAAATAAAAGAAGAAGCTTTCAAAGTACAAAGGAAATATTAAAACAATTTTATTAATTTATATTTTTTGGTGCCAGTCTTTGGGCTTGGGAGCTGTCCCTGAGCTTTTTTTGCTCAAGGCTAGCACTCTATCACTTGAGCCACAACTCCACTTCCAGCTTTTTGGTGGTTAATTGGAGAGAAGAGTCTCATGGACTTCCCTGCCCAGGCTGGTTTTGAACCACAATCCTCAAATCTCAGCCTCCTGAGTAGTTAGGATTATAGGTGTGAGCCATCAACACTCAACTCAACATTACTCTTTTTTTTTTAAACACAGAATAGTCTAGAATTCTTCAGGGACACAATTCTGAATGTGGTTTTCATAAGTCACTTTTAAATGTATAAGCTATATCTTCTAAAAGTGAAATCCATATGCATCTAAATTTGGAAGGATATTTAATGAGATTATATTAGAACAAAAATATAAGGTTTTTATGTAGTAAGCTAACACTATTTGAGTTACCCTGTTTAGAAATTTAAATTGATTTAATTAAAATAACGCCTACTTTGGTACTACTCTCTAAGCAGAGGTTTGATTTCCACACATCCTGAGAGCCTTTGTTTGGTGTGTTTAAAAGAATTTCATACTCACTATCTATTGTAACCCCTCTGTATCTTATTTTCATAATAATAAAAAAGTAAAAAAAAGAATTTCAGCACCTACTATGAGAGACCCCTGTCATTACTGCAGTTTTAGAGAGACCAAGAATTCCTGTATTAATATTCCAATTGTTTGACAGCTTCATTGAGGCCACAAATACTACAGGCCTTCCAAAACACATACACACAAGAAGATATTCAAAAAGAAAAGTAAATAGGAAAAATAAGCTTCTATTTTAGAATTATTTACTTTTTCTTTCAGTGAATCCTTTGGCATGTGTTCTTCTGTAGATATAGACCACACGTGGTAGTTACTTTATTTTTCAATACTTTTTGGTTTTAGTCTTTCTTAAGTCCCAAGAGATATGATAAAAAAAAAAAACCTTAATTTTTATTGTAGAAATAGTATGGAGGGGGGCAGTGAAATCTTCTTTTAAACAATTGAGAGTGAAATTTGAGGCTATATCTTGATTTCAGATACAGACATGTGTATGAAATTTCCTTATAACTGGGCAAGAGGTGAAAAAACAAATTCATGCAAGCTTTTTTCTTTAGCAGGGAAACAGGATTTCCTGGGTTCAGCAGGTCAGCATTGCTTATAGGGGGTGTCCAAAGACTTCAAAGTGCT